CGGAGGACTTCGAGATGAAATCATCTCAGTTCTTCGGGAATATGCAGATATTTTCGCTTGGAGTGTGGCGGACATGCCGGGCATTGACCGTTCTGTCATATGCCATCGTTTGGCTGTGATGGAAGGGAGCCGGCCTGTGAAACAAAAGAAGAGGCACTTGGCGATCGTCCGTAGGGACTTTGTGAAGAAAGAAGTCAAGGACTTGTTGGCGGTCGGGCACATACGGGAGGTACAATACCCGGCCTGGCTGGCTAACGTCGTCTTGGCTCCAAAAGGCGACACCTGGCGCATGTGCGTGGATTACACGGATCTGAACAAGGCATGCCCCATGGATTCATACCCGCTGCCCAGTCCCGATCAGATGGTCGATGAGACGGCCGGGTGTGAATTGCTCAGCTTCATGGACGCTTTCAAAGGCTACCATCAGATTTTCATGGCTGAGGAGGACGAGGAGAAGACTTCCTTCTTGACTCCAGAAGGCACTTATTGCTACCGGGTGATGGCCTTTGGACTAAAGAATTCGGGCGCCACTTACCAAAGGATGGTGAACCGGCTTTTTAAGCCACTCCTCGGTAAATCCATGGAAGCTTACGTGGACGATATGCTGATCAAAAGCCCGGGCGCGACAAATCACCCGGCTGACATGAGGCTTTGCTTCGAGATTATGGCTAAGTACAGCTTGCGTCTCAATCCCAAGAAATGCGTCTTTGCTGTAAAGACCGGAAAGTTTCTAGGGTTTATGGTGACCAAGCGTGGTATTGAGCCTAATCCGGAGAAGATTAAGGCCATAACTGAAATGAGGTCGCCCAGTTCGCTGAAGGACGTACAACGACTTACCGGGCGGCTAGCAGCCTTAAGCCGTTTTCTCTCCCGGTCTGCTGAAAGGGCTCTGCCTTTCTTCAAGGTGTTAAAAAAGGCCAACACATTCGAGTGGGACCGGGAGTGTGAGGAAGCTTTCCAGCAGCTAAAGGAGTACTTAGTCTCTGATATTGTTTTGTCGAAACCCAAACCGGGTGAGACTTTGTATTTGTACCTAGGCATATCCCAAAACGCTGTAAGCTCTGTTTTGATAAGAAATGAAGACGGCCAGAGTCCTATTTACTATGTGAGCAAAGCATTAAATAGGGCCGAAAGCCGGTACACTACCATTGAGAAAACGGCATACGCGCTTTTCATCACGGCCAAAAAACTGACCGCATACTTCCAAGCTCACACCGTGGAAGTACTGACCGATCAGCCACTTGGACCGGTCCTTCGAAATTCGACCTCTTCGGGAAGGTTGATCAAGTGGGCGATGATGCTCACCCAGTTCAAAATAGAATATAAACCAAGGACTGCAATTAAGGGTCAAGCTTTGGCAGACTTCCTCGTTGAACTGACCGGTCTAGAGCCCGAAGCCGGACCCTCCCATACGGTCAAACCGTGGTGGGACATGGCCGTTGATGGAGCCTCTGGACCGAAGGGATGCGGGGCCGGCGTAGTCTTCACTACCCCAGAAGGATTCAAGATCTACCATGCCTTGATCTTCAACTTCAAACTCACCAACAATGAGGCGGAGTATGAGGCGTTGGCCGATGGCCTCAGATTAGCCCGGACACTCGGGATAAAAAGGATGAAGATCCATTCCGATTCGAGTCTAGTGGTTGGACAGGTCAATGGTGAGATGGAAGTAAAAGAGGATCGGCTGGCCCGGTATAGTGATCTGGTCTGAGCGCTTCTAAGGGAATTAGAAGAGTTTCGTCTGACTAGGATACCCCGGTCGGAAAATGCTGATGCAGATATGCTTTCAAAATTGACACAAGCCTGCCCGGAGCATGTGTCGAAGTTGGCGAAAATTGAAATCATGGACGTGCCGAGTACAGACCGGTTTGAAATCGCGGCTATCCAACCGGGCCAGAATTTGGCTACCGGGACAATCGGAGCAGATGATGACTGGAGGCACGATCTCATGCAATATTTGGAGACCGGTCAGAAACCGGATGACGAGGAACGGGCCAGGAAGGTGGTCCTGCGGGCTCCCCGTTTTCAGGTAATCGATGGTCACTTGTACAAACGTGCCATCGGTGGACCTCTCTTACGTTGCCTTACCAACCCAGAGGCTGAACGGGTAATAGTTGAGGTGCATGAGGGAGTTTGTGCGGCCCATCAAATGTCTCGCACCCTGGCTCAAAGGATAATATTGCTTGGCTACTACTGGCCGACCATTGTGGGGGATTGTGAGCGGTATGTCCAGAGATGTAGGACGTGCCAGGTATTTTACAAACATCCCGGTAGACCGGCCACATACTACCAACCAACGTCTAATGTCATACCATTTGCCCGGTTTGGGATTGACATTATTGGAGCCTTCCCGGTCGCTCAAGGCGGGAAGAAGTTCGTGATGGTGGCTATTGATTACTTCACTAAATGGGTCGAGGCCGAGGCAATGGCTACCATAACCGTGCGGCAGTGTGAGAAATTTGTTTGGAAAAACATTATCACCCGGTTTGGTGCCCTGAAGATGATTGTAACCGACAATGGTCCGCAGTTTCGTAACCCCCGGTTCACTGAGTACTTGGCTAGTTTTGGAATCAAGCACAGCAAGGCCTCAGTAGCTTATCCACAGGGAAATGGCCAAGTTGAAAATGCTAACCGGACGATAGTGGACGGCCTAAAGAAGAGGTTGGGAGAAGAAGGCCATAAATGGTTGGAAGCTTTGCCTCACACGGTCTGGGCGCATAGGGTGACTTCAAGAAGGGCAACCGGAGAAACTCCATTTGTGCTCACTTACGGATGTGAAGCCCGGTTGCCAGTTGAAGCGGAAATTCCAACATTTAGAGAAACCGTGTATCAGCCCGGCCAGAACGA